CTCTCTCTCTCTCACACACACACACACACACAGACGATCGTGAAAACCGATAATGATATATTCTGGTTTAGTGTATGTTGTGGATCCTAGTATGGATCACACTCGTTTCTCAAGGTCTTTTCAAGGTCATTCACAATGGCAAAAATGTATAGATCTAACTCTGGGAGGCGACTACATAAAGAAAGACTAAGCTCAGCACCAAATTTCAGCTTTCTACCTTTATTCCTTCATGGTCAGGTAAAAAACTTTTGGAAGGCCTAGCCCCTAGTAATATCAAGTTCAATTCCAACAGCGCGAGACCCTTCTATACGCGTTAACGCTTTGCAAAAAATAAATACATGTATTCATATATATATATAGAGATCTAGAATCTAGATCTAGATTAGATCTAGTTATAAAAAGGAACGTTATAATAATGCAGTATAGTCACAGAGTTTTACGTACAGTACTGTAAACCCTCTCTGGTATAGTGTACCGCGAAACTTGACATATATCTCTACATGACTCTTGTATGACTAAATTATGCAAACAAATGACCGACCAAGGGCCAATCCCACCCGGGGTACTTAACCCAACGATTATGGAATAATTTTAGGCCTTAACTGTGCTTCAATCTTCACAATACAAACAAGTTGCAAGTACATGTCATGTACATGTAGGCTAACTCGCTGCCTGGTCTCGTACTATGTTGATGACATAGACCTACTGACCTAGTTTATTTCCCCTGGTTATTTCCCTTCGCTCAAAGGTCATAATGACGTCACGAAGGAGACAAAGATGGAGACTCTCAAGAATGGAAGCATGTGAATGTGTGGGGACCTGACGATAAGCTCATTTGGGAGTAGGCTACAGTTTGTTTGGATCAGGATAAAACTGAACTGAATTCCCAGTGACCTTGTCATGCAATCGGTGGCCCAGTACGGGAGGATCGTAGCTCGTGCTATAGCCGCTGGAATCCACAACGAGTTTCAAGTCAAGACACCCTTCGACAAACCAAAAGAGCCCTTGCATTTTGTAACTGGGGCGTCAGGATTTTCGAAGTCCGTCACCAAAACAAGCAATCTCGGCAATAAATGGACGTTCGGTGACGATGCTTATTTCATCAGTAGAAACAAAGTGGCAGATGTCATCGGTGAGTCTAAATTGTTGTATCGGAAATGGGGAAAAAACTTCTTTACTTTGAAATCTAAATCAGGGTAGATTCTGTGTTTGTTTTGGTTCGAAGTTCACCTTGAAATCCGTCACTCGTGACAGTCACAAAAAGAGGTCAGCAGGGTGCACTCGTGCTGTCAGCTGTGATTGTTATTACTGTAGGTGTAGGCTAGCACAGGAGTTTCTTTGTTTAGCTTACGTTTGTATACTTTTCACTTAAAAGGTTAGGAGAGGATTTTCAACTCTTAAATTTAAGTTAAATTCCTATTTAAATTTTTAATTGAATTGTAACCCACAGTTCAGAAAGCCTACACTACATTAGCAGTTATTGTGTACACACCTGTGTGTGTAGCAGAATCAAGTTACAAGTTAATTACGTCTAGACCCCAAAACAACTACGTTCTGAAAGAGTTAACGAATGAAACTACAAAATAACCGCCTAGTAGAGTCTACTAGATATCTAGATCTAGAGGCCACCTCTATTCTCACCTTGTCCTTGGGGGTGAGAATAGTGCAGGTGAGTCTTATTGGCTATTCTCACCCGGTGTGCGTTCACCGTTATAGCCTAGATCTAGGCCAACCAATTTTGCTTTCACCCTAAACCACAGAATTCTACACTGTGATAATAGAAAAATTGTAGAATTCTATGCCGTGAACAAACGTTCCATTACTACTGTTGTTAGCCTACTAAAAGCGTACAATTTTGTCTGTGGGCAGTGGAGAGAAAGAGAGAGAGAGAGGAGTAGCGCGAGAACTTCGGGGTAAAACAAAATGGCGACCCGCGTAGTTCGGCTCGATTCGAAAAGTTAAATAGCCGTAGCATCTTTGTAGACGACCAAATTAATTTACTTTTGTGTTTTAACATCATTTTTAAACCTTGTTTTGGTCAATTTGATCGTCCACACCGATAGACAGTATTCAGAAAGAGACAGAGAGAAAGAAGAGGGGAGGAGTAGATCTTGCGAGAACTTCCGGGCAAAACAAAATGGCGACCCCCGTAGTTCGGCTCGATTCGAAAAGTGAAATAGCCATAGCATCTTTGTAGTCGATAAAATTAGCTTACTTTTGTGCTATAACGTAATCTTTTCTTTGCCTTTATCCATTTGATCATCCACATCGATAGAAAGTATATACATTCCGAAATTAGGAAAAACAGGTCTTGTTTCACACCGGGTGAGAATAGCCTACTGTTGCAAGTCTCATCCGGGGTGAGAGGTCGATCGTATTTCTATTCTCACCCCAGGTGAGAATAGCCACTTCCAGATCTAGAAATCTAGATTGAGATACATTTTTATAATCTAGACGGTCAGAACACAGCTAAAACATGTGCACACGGATGCTGTTTGAGATTGGGAGTGTATACAGACCCGGTAACGGGGAACAAAGTCACAAAGTATACAAAAGACCCGGTAGCGGGAACTCTTTTGTGATTTCGGAGAGTTTCTGTGTCCTCTTGGCTCAGGGTAGACCTAGGTTCTTCTAGATATGTGGTCTAGATCTAGATCTAGGCAGACAGACATAAATCTTTGATCTAGTTTCGCGGCTAGCCTAGATCTAGATCTAAATGAAGATTGCGGATGTCTTTTCGATGAACGATCGTTTTTCCTCCGTTTTGGAGTTGGAGGAATCGCAAGACGCAATTTGAAGAAAAGAACAATGTCATAATTTAAATCGAGCAGTCACCCTTTCTATTTCTCTCTCTCTCTCTCTCTCTCTCTCTCTCTCTCTCTCTCTCTCTCTCTCTCTCTCTCTCTCTCTCTCTCTCTCTCTGTCTCTCTCTCTCTGTCTCTCTCTCTCTCTCTCTCTCTCTCTCTCTCTCTCTCTCTCTCTCTCTCTCTCTCTCTCTCTCTCTCTCTCTCTCTCTCTCTCTCTCTTTCTCTCTCCTCTCTCTCTCTCTTTCTCTCTCTCTCTCTCTCTCCTCTCTCTCTGTCTCTCTCTGTCTCTCTCAAATTTTAAGTCTTTTGCTTTCTCTTTTACACCCCCTTTCTTTCATGTTTAAATTTAAAAAGTTTCAAAGGATTCTCTCATGAAGCACAGAGTTGCTGATGTTTCTTGTTTACTTATTTCAAGAATGTTTTCAAGCTTCAATAATGCATGCATGCGTCTCCCCCCCCCTCCCCCCAATAATGCATGCATGCGTCTTCTCCGCCCCCGCCCCCCTCTCCCACACCTCTGTTAGTCTAAAAATGTGTGTGTGAATGTCGTGTCTCCCCCTCCCCCCATCCCCTCCCATTCTCTATGTGTGTCAGTGAAATCCACAGTACTGCACAATGGCAATATTTGTACTTAATGAAACGTTGAAGCATAATGTTCCCCCGCGGCAGTGCCACTGACTATAGTGTCTTTAGGTCATTCCCAAAGGGGGGGCATTTCTTGTTCAAGCACAGTAGAATTGTAAATGGGTTGATTCATGTCACGCTCAAAACTGTGCCTGATCTACAACAGGGAACTGCTGCTTTTTCTTTCCTAATCCTTACTAATGTCTTTTTCCTCTACTTCTTTTGTATGTTTGTCATACTCTTGTGACCTGCTATTTCCGGGGTGCCTTGATAGTTGAAGCAGACCTTGGCCTTGTGCTATTGAAGCTAGAGAGGCGAGCAGAGTAAGTCTGATTCCCTGTAAAGACTTCTCTGTTGACACCCACCCCTTGGCGCTCATATGACCTTATGCAGTTGCGAGTGCCGTAAAACCCTCTACTATAATTTTTTTTCTTTAATGAAGCATAATGTCAGAGGTGTAGGGTGGGTTTTAGTGAAAGAGGTCTTTCTATGGGAATAAATTTTCTTCTTTTTTAGTACTGGTACTTGTTGTGTGTTAAGCCTACATCTTTATCTTTTCTGTTGGAAATGAATACACCTGCCTCTTGTGTTTTTATAGCTCTTTGGTGTTCTTTTATGCAGTATCTTTTTATTGTGTCTTTTCTTAGGCGTAGCCGATGGGGTAGGAGGATGGAGAAACTATGGTGTAGATCCTTCAACCTTCCCTCGCACCTTAATGTTGGCGTGTGAGCGCATGGTGCGAGAGGGACACTTTGCCCCCCAGTCACCTGGCAACATCATCGCTGCTGGTTACAGCGAAATGCTGGAGCAGAAAGTGCCAACAATAGGTACTTGGAATTGATTTATTCTGTCAGCATAATTTCAGATGAATATGGCCATGGAAATAATACAAGAATTGTATATATGATTTTTTGAATCACGGACAAGAGGGTTTCCAGAAATCTTGACCTACTCCAAAAATGGGCATTGCCCTACCTATAGGAGAAGTTTGGTTTCATTGGTGTGTATATTTGTTTGGTTACAGAGAAAACTCTCCTTGTCTTTAAAAAAAAACTGAACAAGGATCCAAAACTTTACCTTCTATTTTCTCAAAACAAAGTTTGTCAGGATAGCCCCTTGTGCTTAAAAGCGACCAATTGTGAATGAAGTCTGCATGTGTAGACATTTATCTCTCTGCAAGAAAGGATTCAGGTTATCCCAGATTCAAATTATGCTTCTCTTTATAACATTTTTTTCACACCCTACCAATTCTTCTAGTAAGCATTCTTTGTATGATGATAATAAAGCTTAGGGTTGATATCACCCAAAAATAAGTGAAGTTCAGATTTTCCTAGTTATACAAAGTGCAGGAGAAAAAAACCCTTTTGAAGCTATCTCTAATTTTTTTCTTCTCGGAATAAGGCTAAACTCATTTTCCTTATGACTGCAAGTGTAAAATAATTTTTGTAATTTATGTAAATGTAATGGATGTTTCATCACAGGCAGCAGTACAGCTTGCATAGTGTCACTTCACCGAGAAGAGAGGACCATCTATGCAGCTAATCTTGGCGACAGCGGCTTCCTTCTGATACGGGACGGGGAGGTGGTCCACCGGTCCATAGAACAACAGCACTACTTCAACACGCCTTATCAGCTGGCTGTGGCTCCTCCGTCTAGAGATGGACATTGGCTCAGTGATAGGTATGAAAAATGTGTCAGGGCGCGGTGGGATCAAGCGCTCGTCAATTTTGACGCATATAAAATTATTATTACCACCTTAACTCACTGACTACTGGCCCCTTTCACAAATCACTAGCGCTGAGTACTGGCATTTTTGGGGGTATTTCAAAACATCACCACAACTCTTGATGTTCTGTTTTGATTTGTATCCATGTGTGAGTGTTTGGTGAAAATATATAAGTTGGTCTGTGCGTTTACTCAGACCCATACACTGAATTACATGAGACAGATGTAGGGAACGAAGTTGTGATTTCGTCGTGCGAACAACAACAGTACTAGTGCTAAATCTAGCCCTAAAACTTCGACTGGGGTCGTGTTTGGGTACATATCCAGGGTCCTAACTATCAGACACATCATATCCTGAGTCACTAGAACTAGCAAAACGTACAGAAGTATTGAAAACAGCGAATTTATGTGATTCTTGTTCATGCGACCGTTACTTCGACGCGACTGTCGGATTACTATCATTTGTATAGAAAAAACATAGCGCGAGTTCCGGTCAGGTCAACCCTAGATGAAGTGACTGTCCTTCACCTTCAATTGCTTAAAAAGTTACCACGAAACTTCCGCCAAACTCGGCACGAAACGAAACTAGCACTGGAGTCCGTTCCCGTTCATGTGACGGGAGCACAAGATACGGAACAAAACCGCAAAAGTCCATCCCGTCGAGGGTACGGGATCCGTACCTGCGAACTGACTGCCCGCCCCATACCTGTGACGGGATCCGTAGTCAGCGAGTTGAAGCTTGTTCATTTGTCTTTCATTTGGTGAAAAAATACCAATCTAACTTAAATAGAAGTCAAAATATTTGCAATTGAAGGTGGTGGAGGTTGCCTGGTTTGAGAGGTAAAAATCGGCCCAAAAAATGGCTGGCGAAGTTTGGTGACTCACAAAGCTTGAGTGTCCTTGGAAACTGGAAATTTACATTTTTTGTGGCTTTAATCAACATTTTTTCGGGAGCATTCAAAGAGAAATTCCTTTATAAAAGCACATTAAAGGTGTTGAGGAGAAAAAGAAAATTTGAAAGAAATTGCCGGTGTCTTTGATTCCTTTGTTTTGACGAGCGCCTGATGATTTCACAACGCTGCCTCACAAATATCTGTCTTGAATTTTGTTCACAAGCCTCCTTCTGGAAGTGGAGGTAGCACAAAGGGTGAACAAGTTTAGAAGATATTCTCACTAGACACTCTTTGAATACACTAATTTGTACACTGCTTAAAATTTGAAATAGCGCTGAGCAAAATCTTTTTTAGAATGTAATTAAAGAATCATTAGACTGATTTTCTGGTGGAATTGCATAAATTTTTTACTCGTGATCACTTTCACTCCTATGTAGGCTTCTAGTTTAACACTTATTGTGACAACAAATAGTCCCTTTCTTGAGGCACTCGTTCATTTGACTTCTTTTTTTTTTCTTTTTCAGTCCCGATATGGCAGAGGCTTCTTCCTTCAAGGTAGAAGATGGAGACATCTTGATGCTAGCAACAGATGGCCTATTCGACAATCTCAGTGAGGATATGATTGTTAGACAACTCGGTGCTCTACATGTAAGCAATATTTGTCTTAAGATTATTTCATCGGACTTGAATTATGGATGTGTCAAACATGTTTGTTGTTAATCAGTGGCATGTTTGAATTATCCGTGCGAGTCTGTGACAATGCAGAACTTCGTTTACCTCCCATTTCACGGTTGTTGGAAGGGCCACTGGCAGATCCTAGCTCTTTTTGTTCTTCCCTCTGTTATTGCTATGTGTCAACCTGTTTTGCTTGTTCTCAGCAATAAATGACTGATATTGTGTCAGTCAAGATGTGCTGCTCTTTACTCAAACTAAAACATCCCACTACACATTTTCAGCCATTATTCTGTTATGAAGCAACGGTTAAATCAGTGTCTATGGGTGGTTGGCGGGTGCTCTGGTGTGGTTTGCTCCTTCTTTCCTCTAAACAGCTATCGTCCTTATCTCTCCTCCTTCTTTTTTACGTTTGTTGTTACTCTCTTGTAACACCTCTAATCTTCGGCACTTATATGACCTTATTGTGTTGCAAGTGCCGTAAAACTCTTTACTAAAACTAAAAACTTGAATCTTCGGCACCGCTGTCATCTAATTTTGTTGCATGTGCAATAAAATGCTAAATGAAACAAAGATCAAATGTCTAATGATGACTGTGAATGTTTACTTGGTTGCCTATCTGTATGTATCTGATATTAGTACTGTAAATACTGTAAACTTCTACCTAAGAGAATGCTGCAAGTTTTGTAATCTCTAAACTGGATTCCCCACAGGAACATAAGGAAGAGGAGAGAATACAGCATGCAGCTAGCAACATTGCTGAAAACGCCTACCAGCTTTCATTAGACCCTGACTACATGTCCCCCTTCGCTATATCTGCCAATGATATCGGTATTGATTTGAGAGGTGAGTGAGCAGGCCTCATGCATAATGTAACGCTAACATAGAAGAGTGGGGGTTATTTTATGCTACTATTGCTTTGTTGTCATAGGCCTTTTGTTTTCGCAGCTGTTACAAAGTTATTGATGTGGATTGAATAGTTTTGGAGATCCAGATTAGCCAGGATTAAACTTGCTTTGTGATTTGAGTGTGTTATTTTTATGTTTTGTTTTTGTGCTTGTTAGCTGATGGAAAAAATATGTTAGATATCAGTAGAAGTTAAAAGTAAGATAAAAATCTTTGTATTATGGTTCAAACTATGTTCCTTTTGTGTGTAATTCTGTATTGTTAGCCAGTGGAAGGGATATGCGATGTAAATTTTGACGTTATTGCTGTGAGTCACATGTGGATTTTATATAATATCTGAATTGTCATGTTCTCCTGTCTTTTGCGAGTGGTTGGAGGGTGCCTCTAACAGTTTCTTATTCGTTTCTCTCCTTCCGTTGTTTCTGTTTGTCTTGCCTTTTCCTAGTGTAATATTTGAAAGTTTTTTGTCACCCAAAGCTTTTGAATCCATCTGCAGTGAATACCATCCTCCAACAAAATTCTTATTACATATGCTTTTATTTCTCTTAGCTCTTTATCTCTGGCAAGCCATGCAGATAAGCCGCTGACAGCGGCTCTAGTGCATTCCTTTACGACGACTTCAACGTCAAATTACTTTTTGACATTGCCGAAAACAAATCTGTTTTAGGGGGAGATTATTCATTAGATGAAGAACTATGGAAATAGGTTCAGTTTTTTAATATTTAATGACCAGTATAGGGCCCCGGCATAGTGAGTTTACCCCCCCATGGAGATAAAGAGTTAATGATATTGTGGTATTATTTTATTTCAAAGGCATCTATAACACTAACACTTAATACTTAAGTCTGGCATGCATATATAGCTCAATTGGTTGGACACAAAAGTCTTTTCAATATTAACCAATTTAGATATATGTGTTTTAAATTATATAAGAAAGAATTAGGACTTGGAAATCTGTTTGCTAGGTGCGTGCCAGTCTAGTTTTGTGGCTTAAAAAGGCTTGCAAGTTGATGACATGACCTTGTAAAAGAAAAAAAATAACAATGACATTATCTTCTGTCAACCAAAAGGGTCTGCTGAATTGCTAGAAATTTGAAAAAACGAATCATTCCAGTTTTATTGATCTTGAAGGGGAAATTTAGTTCGCAAAGGGCTCACACATGCTAATCCTAATACATACAGAACATGTACTACAAACACGCCATTGCCAGTCACCACTAATCAGTGCCTTGTTTTTTTGGCTAGGATTATCATATTTTGCTCAAGGACACACCCCAGTTATCACCCACCTAAATGCCATGTTACCAATGTGTGCTTGGCATTTATTGTAAGCCTGAACTTGTTCACTGGTTGAAAGAGAAAAAAAATAAATGTATTATTTTAGTTACTAAAGTACATTATGGTACATTATAGTTTGTTTCCATCTGGCCTGATCAGACATAGATGTATATTATGGTATATACATTATTCAGAGGCTTTTTTTTCTAGTGATAATCCAATTTCTACTGAAGTGAGTGTAGTTTGTCCTTTAACCCCTTCACTACTAGGCTTGCTTCGTAGTTAGTATCACTGCACAGCTTATTTATACAGTCTGGAGAGGGGCAATAAATGGGTTAACTCAAAACTAAGTGGGTGGTTTGCAGGTGCTCTGGTGTGGTTTGCTCCTTCTTTCCTATCAAATATCTGTCATCCTTATCTCCCCTCCTTCTTTTTTGTGTGTTACTCTTTTGTAACACATAATCTATTCTATGACCTTATTGTGTTGCAAGTGCCGTAAAACTTTTACAAAAGTTAAACAAAGCTCAACACTAATGCAGAGTTTTTACAGTTTAGTCTTGTTTTTGATGAGAGTAATTATTTAATCTGGTTAAAAATTGTTTTTTCAGGAGGCAAACCAGATGACATCACGTGTATAGTGGCCCGCGTGACCCACCAGTCCGACATCTACCTGTGATGACATTGTGCTACTGAGAGCGACAGAGCTGAAGTCTGTGAGTGCTGATGGACAGTTGGCAAAAGCTACATAACTTTGAGACAGGGCAGAACTTGACGATGCCTTATTGAGTGACTGGTCTGATGTGAAAGAATGGGGATAAGAAGTGGCAGTTGGTAAAAGTAAAGAAAAGTAATGTAGTGCCCTCTCTCATCTTGCACAGCATTTGAGCTCACAGTTGTGGTCAAAGGTCATGTCTCTCTGGAACCGGAAACAGTTCGCTGTGATTGCCATGAGGCGTGAAGATGTTGGGAGCTTTACTTTACTTTTATCAATTTTTAAGTGAACAGAGCTTTTCTTACGGTATGGAAGCGGTTGCTGAATGGGAGATCGTGTACGAGTTGTAAAAGCCTATATATAAATAAAGTGTGCAGTGGTAAAAGAGACAACATCTTCATGCTCTGATCATTTTGTCAATACATTGCCAGCCTACAGTGGTGAAGTTCTTTTTATGTTGGAGAGCTACACTGAGACCAGAGACACAGTGGAATATAATATAACGTCTCGAGCAAGACCAGCACTCATGGTTTCTAGCTTCAGATAACTGAAAGAAGCAGAGTGACAAAGTTCTTCGCTTCATCATTTTCTTGTCATAGTGGGGGTTGTTTTTTTTCATTTGTATATTTACCCCATGATTTATTCATCTCTCATAAGGTCACAGGAGAAAAGGGGGAAGGGTTTGGAAATTCAGGTACTGCTTCAAGATATTAGAATTTACATGTGTGAAAAAAAAAAAGCCCAGGGATTATTCATTCTTCTCCATTTGTCTATCTTGATATATTTGAATCTCGTTATATTCTGTGCAGTATGGCAGGTAGGGAATGTCTATGAAAGTAAGAATCAAAATTAGTAGATATTGTAGTTCTTTAGCTTTTGTCACTAATTTTTTTATTTTTTTGGTCATGAGTAGAACAATGTGTACAAATCACATAGTACAATGACTGTTTGAAAGGCACCAGGAGGAGAGATTCATGATGATAAACTTGTCATTTTGAATATTAAAAATGTATTAAGATGGGGGGGACTCAGTCCAGCAGTGTTGTACCAGGATTTCATTCTTTATATGATTTTATGAAGAACGAATATGTTTTTTTGTTTTGTTTGTTTTTGTTTTTAATTTGAGATAAAGGCTTTTCAGGTCTTGCTCTCTCTGGAAACTGAAGAAGCCAAAAAAGACAGTGATATACCATTAAAAAGTATCTAAGAGAACTTGTCCTGAAGGGCGACCCGAAAAGACTAGGATAGTAATGTAGTTTTAAAAAAAAATGTCCTAACAGCGAAATGAGTGGCAAACCATGACTGCCAATGTCTGTTTCAGATCTGAAACTTCATGGTGAAGAGGAGAATAGTTTTCTATTGATGACTGATATTGACTGACAATACAGCTCTCATGGAAATTAAATTAACAACTTCAGTGACAAAGTTGCACGGTGTGGGTACCTCATCGTTGGTGCATTATTGTTGTAAGCTAGTCCTGACAGAAGACAACTTGTGTCATAAATGATAAATAATTGTTTGCTCGTCAGGCCTTTAGCTTTGGGTGGAATTTGTTTTGTATGACTTCTTTCCAGATTGCTTGGTTTGTTGGGACTCTCAGTTTGAGAGAAAGTGAAAGTGGAAGCGTTACAACAGAAGTACTATTCAGATAGTTTGTAGCTTAAACTGGCAACCTTTACATTTTCTAACCTGATGTTTAGGTAGCTTTACTGCAGCACGGATAGTTTTCTCCCTCCACATAGCTCATGGATTGTTGGTCTCTGTAACTTGCAAAAATCAGTTCACATGTTATCATTTCATCCCACTTGAGTAAATTTCTTCTGAGTTTGTGCAAAGTGGTGGTTGAGTGAAACAATCTGTTACGCTTGAAGTTTGAGTAATTGTAGTCTAAATGGTTGCAATCTTTTCAAGACTCGGTGACGATCACAAATGGAAAAAATTATGACCAGAGATTAAAGATAGAAAATTTGAGAATTTGTGTCTACCCCACTTTGCAAAAGATGAGGATGATCTATGCCAGCATTAGTATGCATGAAACCGTTACATTCCACTGTTTGTATGAAAGTAATCATGGCACATCTTTTATCTCTTCTGCTCCAGAATGTTTATTTTCGGGTTCCTCTTCACATAACTTGCATTAGTTGCAATGTAAGAGCATTTTCTTGTCTGTTAACTATTGTCTGTCTACCTTTGAGTAAATTCTGCTTCCAGTCTGAACTTACTAAGTCTTTTGATAGTGATAGTCTCTTGAAACAATGTTCACTTCTTTTTTTTTTTTTTTTTTCAAACACATCTTTTATTTGCTCATGAGGAGACACTGGTTGTTAATTCAGTTCCAGGTACGTCTTGTTTGTTTGCACAAATTGTTTTCTCCAATCTCAGTTTGTTGTGTTGGTACATATCCAGGCTCTGTGCTTGCTGGTATCCTGATTTGCTCATCTGATGTTTTTATATTTTTCTCTGGAATGAATAAATTCACCTTGAGTATTGAATTAAGCACTGGCTTGACTAGAAGAAGCATAATTAATTATTACTATGACAAGACCATTGCTATTGTCAGGTCCTCTGGCTTTGGGTTGTTTTTTTTTGTTTTTTAAAATTTCTTCTGAATTCTGTGGAATTGTGTGGGCGACTTGGTGTAAATTGCTGGGTGCCTCCCATGAAGTAGTAATTTAGTGCAAAGAAAATGCAACATATAATTGAAAGTAGATAGTACTGAGATGTGTTGAAGAAGGTTTTTTTCTTTTGGTTTGTTATTGATGTGAGAGTGTAGGTTAGATTTTTTGTTTCGTTTTGTTTAAAGGCTGAAAAGTACTTTAAATGAGACACTTGTGTAGAAAATTTGTCCTTTCATTTGGTGTACATATAATTATTATCAAATGTTAAATAAACAATTTTTCATACACACTTCAAAAGTTGATTTCTTGGTGTTTGGTTGTGTGTCTTTATCTTTAGTACTGGGCTTCTGTTATGGTGTGTGTTAATTGAAACACAGGCAAAAGTTGTTTCATTTAAGAATGTTTTGTTGTGTTTTCATATGCCACACCACTGGAGAGAAATTTATTGCAGTGTAAAAGATCTTTAGCGGACTGTTCAGTTTGTGACACCGCCAGATTGACTGTCTGTCTTTTGTTTTGTGTTTAGTAAGTGTTTTATAGCGCTTGCAATACTGTAATTAGATCATGTAAGTGCCAAAGATTATAGGCGTTTCATGTGACAAGAGAGTATCAGTAACAAACACAAAAAAGGGACTTGGAGAGATATAATATGGACGATAGATGTTTGATACTAATGGAGCAAACCGCACTAGAGCATGTGCCATCCACAATTCAACTGATTGTGATTATTAAGAACAAAAAAAGAAGAAAAAAACTTTTGTTACTATTCTTGAAAAAGAGGGCTCTCATGGTCGAGAGCTTTAATGATATTCGCTTTTCATTCAATAGGTCATGTATTCAAATCCGGAAAGCTATTGAAAATTTTCTCCTTTCACATCCTTTCCTTCTCACTAACAATGTTCTGTCATCTGCTTTCGTCTCCACTTTTTGCCCCCACCCCCTCACCTCCTTTGCCCCCTCTTCTGGGCTCCTGACTCTTTCTGTAGCCTTTTTTCTGCTACTCCTTGGCTCCTTCTTACTGCTGTCTCAGCCACACTCCTAATCTTTTGGTAGGTAAGATCTAACACCTAGCCTTCTTAGAAGGGCAAAAAATCATGGAGGTCCTGTGTGCAGGTAGCGCACGTTAAAGTAAGATCTCTTGGTGGTCCAAAATCGATTATAAGAGTGGGCTTCGGCTGCCACCTGAGCCAAATTCCAAATTTCCTACTTACTGAAAATGTTGAATGTGTCTAGTGCACTCATATTCATAAGACCAAATGACCTTATGCAGTTGCGAGCTCCGTAAAACACTTAGATCTACCAACAGCCCTCCAACAAAAAAATTAACTTTAAAAAAAACTTTTTTGGGGTGAAAGTGGCTAGCAAATATTTGTAATTTTGTGGGAGGTCGGTTGAGACAACTGGTAGGCCCTGCTTCCCTATTGCAGTGAAAGTCGGATATATAACGAAGTCGTTCAGAGTGACTTTCAATTTCTTTGAATCCGAGTCTTCCTTATATAGCACTGAGTTGTGAGCAATAAGTTGCACTGCAATTTTGGACGTTCCATTATATGGCCACGTTTGTTTCTATAGACTGGTGCATAATTCATTACATTGATCTAGATCTATGTCTACTAAGCTAGCCTTAAGAGTTTGATCACTGTGGAACTCGGATTCAACAAGCTCGGATTCAACGAGAGAAGATGGATTCCCCGTTTTTTTTCTTCTTTAAAATCAATAAAAATAACCCGGATTCAACGAACACTTAAATCAACGAGCTCGGATTCAACGAGGTCACTTCCAGGGTGAACAGCCCCCAAAGACCTGGCTTTGTTAATTTTTCTCCTAGTACGAACTTTATCGATTCCCGGAAACCATCCATTGCACCTGCATCGTGAACTATTTTTCACTTAGCCGATTGCTTGCGACCAATCAGCAGCCTTTTTTCATACCAACACATGCGTTGTTGACACGCTCACATGCCTACTCTATCATGTCTCGGGGTCTTTTGGGAGGCCTGCACACGTATGACTGTATGTGCGTGTCGGGAAGGGGGGGGGGGGGCACCAGCGGCCGGGCGTTGAACGTCGCAGAGATACAAACCCGTAACAGTCTTTTCCCCCCTCGGCAACTGATCACTATTATATTACAATGATAAGCTAGTCTTCACGTAGATCTACGTAATGAATTGGGCGTTGGTCTATGGAATCTAAAGTTGACGTGTGCTAGGCTCTTCACAGCAACACATTTTAGCAAATAATCGAGATGGCACAGGCCTGTGCATTTGAACCAATCGGTCTTTTTTTTACACAGCTCATAATACGCAGGCAGCTCATAATATGTAGGCATTTCCAGGCACTACTTGTTACTTCTCTTCACACATTACTTGCTCAGTGCCAGTAATTATCTACACAAAACCTCATGCTTGCTATGGCGAACACTCAAGATTCAACGAGCTTTTAGGTCAGGCCCGGCGATCTCGTTGAATCCGAGTTCCACTGTATCATGTAGTGAGGGTTTAAAATTTTTTTTTATTGACTATCTTTTATTTGTATCTGATGGGACCTTCAGCCTAGGTCGGACTTGACAGGCGGGGCTGAAGCAGTCTGCCTCTTGAATTATTTTAATTACGTTGATGCGGGAGTAAAATTGTACAATTACAGAAAGAAGACAGATTACTCAGAACAAACCATTCATTATTTCATATGTACAATTTTATTGTAGAAACATTTCAAATGCCATGCATTGTGTAACATTATGCATCAAACTGTTAATCCTTTGTTGAGCCCTGATTCTCCCAGACTACAGGACCTGTGCATCTCAGCTCCCTAGGGTGGTGCTAGATCTGGATCTATGCTACCAGACCATCAATGATTTATTTATAGAGGCACCAGCCATCCATGTCCAGGTGCTGTTTTAGCCTGGATCTATGCTACAGCATTCCCTGGTGTGCACTCTGGTCCATAGTGTTCAAAATAAATGACTTCTCAAAACATGAGGACTTTCTCATTTTCAGTAACAAACAGATGCCAACTGGCTATGAAAAAAAAGGGGAGGGGAGAAGAAAGAAAAGAAGAAGAGAGTCACCCTATGTCAGTCACATTTCAGGTGTGAACAAAACAATTTCAGCCAACATTCATTGTGACAAAGGTGATTTTCTTTGGACATACTATCTTCGTTTACATCATTGAATTCTTGTATTACAGCCCCCAACTTTAGAGCAACTGGGACCTCTGTACATGTATTTGTAGGCAAAAGAGTAATCTAGTTCAATTTTCTTTAAGGTGCATTTCATAGAACTGCAGCCTAATTTACATAAATATCTCAGTTTTGAAGAAGCACGTGTGGCATTGGTTTCTTGTCCATTTTTGAATTGAAAAAAGTTTTCCAGAGTTAAGTTTCACTGAGGCTGAAAAATGGTATCTGAAAGACCACGTCTAGACTTCAAGAAACTCTCAAAGAAAGAATAATACCCTGTTGCCTCCCAGTCTTCTCACTCCCAGAAGCTTCCATACATGTATTGAACCACCTGGAAAGTGGTGAATTTTTACACTGAAGACCGAGGTATAAACGTTTTCCTCATTTGAGTATGACTATGAGTGGGCGCTGATGTTATCCCTAGGCCACGAAATGTCTTTTCTCCATCTGGAGCACTTATGTTGTAGTCAAAGTTGAAAGCCTCAAACTGAATACAGCTGTGCGCTATGGTCGTGAACATTTCCAGTGAGTGACCCAACAGTAGCATTCAATTTAAATCTTAGAACTTCTGCATTTGGGGAGCAGAGTCCCAGTGCATTCAGTGAGTTCACAAGAGGCCATGAGGAGAAGTGGAGATGGAAAAATACACACATTTCTACTTGTAAGGGAGCCATCATAGATCTCGGTCGGCTGGCAACTATTCTCATATATGTGAATTGTAGTACATATTGTCAGTTTCAAGAAACAGCACCAAGAGGTCACCAAGTTAGCGCGTGTTCTTCTCCATAAATATATCCAATTAGATTTAGACTTCTTTTTCAAATGTAGATTTTTGATCAATTGACGAGCTGCCTTGACAATTTGCTTCTGCCTGGCATCCTTAATGCCCTTTGGTGCTTCATAAAATTCTCATATTCGTATAATTGAAGAAACTGATTACTTATATATGTAACAACATCTGCTCCCCATCAACTTCCACTATTACGTTATGCTTTCCCTTGCACCCCATTAGTTATTTCTTTTTCAGGTACTGTGGTCCATAATAATATGTGCCAACACCTCATGCAGATGGCATCTATCTTTAAAGCATCTTGAGGTCTCAATGATGTTCTAACTTTTTAAAAAAGATGCAACTTCTAATATAACAGAACACGGTGGCTCCTTACTAAATTAAAAGTTGCAACTGAATGAAAATAACCGAGAATAGTCGTTGTCCATTCGTCCTTTCTTTATTGAGTCCTGACTTTGGGTTTCGGTTCACACACGAATGACATTATAAGCCCCTATGACTGTACATGACTGCAAAATTTTCTTTTCAGACCATAAAATGTTCAGTGGGGGCTAAATTGGAACTCTTAGAGACTTAAACGAAGTTTGTGTTTCAGACCGTTAAGCTTCCTGAACTATGACTAGTCTTTCTGTTTAGTTTTTTAGTTTTAGTAGAGGTTTTTCGGCGCTCGCAACTGCATACGGTCATAAGAGCGCCAAGGGGTGGATGTCAACAGAGAAGTCCTTACAAGGAATCAGACTTACTCTGCTCACCTCTCTAGCTTCAACAGCACAAAGTCTGCTTCGACTATCAACAAGGCACCCCGGAAATAGCGGGTCACAAGAGTGTGACAAACATGCAAAAGAAGTAGAGGAAAATGACGATAGTAAGGATTAGGAAAGAAAAAGCAGCAGTTCCCTGTTGTAGTTCAGGCACAGTAATGAGCATGACATTGTTCGACCTTCCCATTTACAATTCCACTGTGCATTAGAACGAGAAATGTCCCCCCTTTGGGAATAGCCTAAAGACACTTCAGTCAGTGGCACCGCCCCGGGGGGTAGTCTTTCTGCGTTTTGCAAAAAAGACTGCACTTATGTAAGATCAGTGACATGAAATGAGCACTTGGTGCCCTTCGGTACATCTGTTGTTGTTTTGTTATCTTGTACAACGGCCAGAGTACTATTCACACATTGTTATGTCAATTGCACAAAGGGCAATTCTTTAAAGTGAAATTACACAGTAAACAATCTGAAAAGCTGCAACTGAGTCTGAGGGTGTGAGAAATGCATTCTTAATATATTGGCTTCCCATACTTTTTACATAAAAGTACAGATACCGATGACGAGTACCTCATTTTTGTGAAAATCCATACAAATAAACATTCTCGCGTCAAAGCAAGTATGATAAACCAATTTGGTTGTAATCTAAATTTTGCTTTTTTAACAACATTTTAAAACAATTTCCTCCACGATTTCGAATGCCTATTTTTAATATGTTATTACACATGATTTTATTGTCCAACCATATTATAAGTTTTATTTTTGTTGCCATTTTTTAGGGTCTACCCTTATCTTTCTTCCACTAATCCACTTTTTGTCGAAATGGAGAGTAATATCAATTTGGTAGTGAGTTTTTAAGCCGCTCTATTACCTCTGTAAATATCTCAGCCGTAGCTTAATTTGGTATTGAGATATATTAACCTTTTTTGTTGTTTTTTTGCTATGTTATTGAGATTTAAAAATCGTCAAAATTTCAAACTCGTTTTTCTTGAAAAATGAAACTGTGAAAAGTCGATATAGTCACTTTTTATGCTCAGCCGTCGAAATTATTACGATGTTGGTTTAAAATTTCTCAGGATTAAAAGGCCTTTCCAATTATATATATATTTATATAGACCACTATAGATTTAGACCCTTAAGGAAGATTCATATTCCAATTATATAGTGTCAAACCCTATTAGATCTATAGGTTGTGCTGTAATGTTGGTAAAAGTGCATTTCATCAGGTGCGTAAATTAATAGACCCAGCCGAGTCCCTGCCCTCTGTTCGGATGCTGATTTCGTTCAATGCCTACTCCTATTCACCTGTTCTTCTAAATCTAGATTACTGTACGGAGGATTTATATTCCAATTCTATTGTGTTATTGTATCAAACCCCATTATGTATTTATAGCAAAGTAGGCCATTATGCTCCTGGTTTGTTTTGGGGGTTTATTTTTTCATTTTGGACTTTTGCTGGCTTTTTTACATTTCTGAAGGCCAATGCCCCCATCATGTACTTCTACAAGTGCTGCTATTTTATGACACCCGCAAAAGCTCTTATGGGGGGAATGGATTGGGGAGGAGTTTGGTGTGCGAAAAATTTTCAGACAATCTGGTTGAGGCTCACATGCAGGTCTAGATCCATCTTATTTTGAGGAGAAAAAGCAAACTTAGACACATCATTTCAACCTCAAGACATCACTGGACAGAAGGGAAAGAGCTTACATAGTGAAATCAACTTGTAACTAATCTACAAGCTCTCTCTGAGAATACAGTAATTTCAGTCCCTATTCCATTGCTCTTCATGAAAAGAATGAAAATGTTACAATAAAGCTCCCATAAAATAAACAGCTATGTCTCTAATAAGTTTTTTTAAAGTAGATTCCATTGATGATAATAACAATTTTTTAAAATAATAACATTGACAACAATATATTAGCAGAGGAGTTCAGGCGTTTTCCACAAGCCTCAGCTATCTTCATCTGAATCTAGAGCCAGAATCTCCGGTCTCCTTTGTGACTGACTGGGCTGAGTGCTGGACTGGGTGCCAAATAGCAGAGCCCGGAACTGAAAAGACAAAATGAAAAAAAGTTTTCCTTTGACAAGTAGGCCTAATGATAATTTAGTGCAGGAAAAACATGGGGCACCCAGACAGAAACAAAAAAGAGAAGGAAAAGAAAGAGGACCTACAAGTAGCGGCCTCTAAGCACTCACAGAACAAAAAAACCAAAACAACAACAACAAACAGATGGGGAAAATGGGTCACACATGACATAATCAGTAGTGCAGGATAGCAGAACCTCCAGACATAGCACCAGGAGGAGGAACCCAACCATTGAAAAAAGAAAAAGAAAAGGGAACCCACTAGAAAAGAGCAAATAGTAGTTAAAACTGAGAAGTAGAATTGAAGAAAAAATATTTCAAGAAACAGAAAAATGAAGGTGCATTACACATTACAGTCACTGTAATCATCATTCAATATTTTTTATTAGCCTCAATTGGACTTTTTTGGGGGGCTTGGTGCACAAAACAGGGACAGAGAAAGAGACAGAGAGAAGGAGAGAGAGTAAACACATACAGACTGAGACAGAAATGCAGACATGCAAAAAGAAGGATAGAGACCTACGTCCATAACATGTCTCTCACTTGAACAAACAAATCCATCGTATTTGTTAGTCTGTCGGGAGAGTTGAAAATAGATAAGAAAACAAACCTTTTTGCTCGGAGGTGTGCCCGGTATCTCATCTTCGTCTTCCTCATCAGACTGGTCAGCCAGTTCAAGATTAGGGGTGGTCTGCAGAGATAAAATATTCATTAGCACAACAAATTATGAAACATACATTTTGTCATTACAATGTAATGACTTACAGAAAGTCAGGAAATCATGATCACCAAGTGAAGACAGAGGTAAGCATGTGGGTGGTAAGAAGAGCTCTGGTGTGGTTTGCTCCTTCTTTCCCATCAAACATCTATCTTCCTGATCTCTCCTCCTTTTTTGTGTTAGTTACCCTCTTGTAACACCTCTAATCTTCGGCACTTATTATATGACTTTACTGTGTTGCCATAAAACTAAACAAGAGATAAGCATGGGAGAAATGCAGTGGAGATTCTACTGTGTTTTGCATTGTAACTCACTAACACTAACAGAAAAGGTTCTCCATGAAAGTTTCATATATATACCTTTTCATACGACACAAAATCTAGAAGACTTGCTCTATGCACGCAGAATTTTAAAACTCAGGTAGAAACAACACTTTGAAAATGCCTTTTTTTCTGTGACCTACGTTGTTTTTCTCAAAAGAATCAAGCTGAGGAGGAGCAGGTGTACCCTCTGTTCATATAAAACACAGCATTTCATAGTAAAATCTTGTCAGTAAAAATGACTTATTTACTTACTACCCGTTATGTCATCTGGCGTTTAGGGCAGCAACAAAGGATTTCCAGCTCTCTCTGTTTTGGGCCATCTTGGTCAATGTCCCCCACCAAGGTTTCCAGGACTTCATTTCAGACTCTACTGGGCGTCTCCAGGTCACTTTGGGTCTGCCCCTCTTGCGATGTCCTTCAGGTGTCCAGTGGAGGGCAGTCTTCACAACAGAGTCTGGTTCTCTTCTCAGAACATGCCCGATCAATCTCCATCTTCTCCTTTTTATAATGGTGGTCATGTCCTCTTGTCTACATTTTCGTAAAAGATCTGCGTAGGAAATCTTGTCCAGCCAGAAGATTTGTAGGATTTAGCGTAAGCTGGTTGTATGAAAGTATTGAAAGGAAGATAGCTTGGCACGGTCAGGATCTGTCATCCTCCAGCATTCAGCTCCAGATAGGAGTGAGGATAGTAGCCTACACAGCTGTTATACAGCTTTAACTTGGTCTGTATACTAAACTGTCCTGACTTCCAGATGTTGATCATGCTTCTGTGTACGGATCTTGCCTTGCCGAGTCTGTTCATGGTGTCTTCCTTTGTGCCGCCGTCAGTTTTAATTATGCTGCCTAGGTAGGTAAATGTGCCTGTTACAGGCAGGTCTGCGTCGTTCACCCTAATCAGTGTTGGGGAACCCACATTTAGTGGGTGTCATCACTTTTGTCTTCTTCTGGCTTATTCTTAACTCAATCTGGCGTCCATATTTGTGGAGTCGGTTTGTTTTTTCCTGCATGTGCTGGTTGGTATAGGAGAGTAGTGCAAGGTCGTCGGCAAAGTCAAGATCCTCGAGGGTGGAGAAGAGGGTCCACCTTATTGCTCTTGATGTATCCTCTATTGTTTTTCTCATGACCCAGTCAATGTCAAGGTTGAACAGAATTGCTGACATGTCGCATCCTTGTCTAACTCCTGTCTTTACCTCAAAAGCAGTAGTACTGTTTCCAACAACGCACTTGAAGTTTTGGTAGAAGCTCTTGAGGACCTCAAGAATGACTTACATTAAAATAAATGAATTGAAGTGGGACTTGTGTCAAGATATTACTTACAATGCATGCAGTCCAGGTTAGCCCTGACAGGTAGTGTTAAAGTAGCCTACCTCCTAAATTATGTAAATTATATTAATCAGTGGCGGTGAGTGGACCAAAATTTGGGTGGGGCTTAGGTTGCTTCCAGTTTTTTACCACCAAATAGCAAGCAATAAGAATTAAACAGTGATGATTTTTCTATACTCACGGTGAGCCACGGCAGTTTGAGAACCATTCAAACGAGAAGAGTTGCCTTTGTTTTCAATCTCTTTGTTCTTAGTTAAATTCTTGTTGATGGTGGGGACGAAACCGATTCACCTCCAAATTTCCTCTAATTAGTTTTCGTGTGATGAAAAAGTTATAACTGTTAAATCTCAGCAGCACAAACACAAACATGCACACACAGCACTTCAAACATAATACTTCTATGAGCTGGATTAGGCCGTGTAGTCGAGACAGTTGAACGCACCCAACAAAGAGCCAATGAGCGCATAGGTATCTGTGTCAGTGGGGGAAGTGTGTCGTAAACTTTCACCCCATTGTCAGGGCTAGGAGAGCGTGAGCCCTCGGTACAGTGTTATTTTTTCCCAGTCTTCTACCTTTTTACAAGAAGAGTTTCATTAAGGACGGACTGTGGGAAAAGGGCTCATCTTTGCTGAGCCCTAAAGACATTTGATTGGCTGCTGGGTTACTATAGTTGTAAGCGGGGACAACAGTGATTGGATAAGTGAGCAAGCCGCCAGGTTGATCACTCTGTGTTCATTGCGTGCGGTTATAACGGTTTCAACTGCTTATTTCATTATGGAGAAACTTTCATTTACTTTGGGATACAGTTGGGGTGGTGGTTGGGGAGGGGGTAGGGGCTCAAGCCTGTGAGCCCGTCACTACCCACCGCCACTGGTCTTTACCTCAAAAGCAGTAGTACTGTTTCCAACAACGCACTTGAAGTTTTGGTAGAAGCTCTTGATGACCTCAAGAATGACTTACATTAAAATAAATGAATTGAAGTGGGACTTGTGTCAAGATATTACTTACAATGCATGCAGTCCGGGTTAACCCTGACAGGTAGTGTTAAAGTAGCCTACCTCCTAAATTATGTAAATTATATTAATGGAATCCCAAAAACACTTTTTCTTGTTTTTTTCATAAACAATAATAATAATAATAATAATAGATAGCATTTGTATAGCGCATATCCCCGCTCAGCAGCAGGCTCTATGCGCTTTACACTATATTATTACCCCAGCAGACCATAGAACACTCCGAAACATTCTCAGCTTCCCGGGAAGCATACAGTGCGAGCAGCCGATTAAGCGCTCAAACACTAACAAACTGACAAGATCTTTCGCTGTCTATAGCCAGGTACCCATTCCCACCTGGGTGAAGTGAGGAAAATTCGTGTAAAGTGCCTTTCCCAAGGACACAACGTCGGGCCCTTGACGGGATTCGAACCCACGACCTTACGGTTGCGAGTCCGAGAGCCTAACCACTAGGCCACCGACGCCACATTGAAAATAAGTTTTTATCTGCAACACATCTTTTTTTACTTTGAAAATGTTTCTAAATCCATTTAAAACATAATATATAGTCTAGCACACACAGCGAAATTGGCCAAATGCGGAAATCCTTTCATTATGCCCAAATTTAGCTAAGTAGGTGTTTTAAATACAATGAATATAACATACATGAAGAAGTAGACATTCGGACTTGAAAATACGCATGTTTCGTTATGTGTGTGCTCGACCATATTTCATGTCTGAGCTGTGAACGATAGACTTACAAATGTCTCAGTCTGTAGTGGGATCTGTGGGCTTGTGTCAGGGCTCTCCGCTCCCAGAGATCTCAGGGACAGAACTTGTCGTCCTGGTGCCGCGTGGGTCGAGGGTGGACTGGTTGACCTCAGGGGGTCATTTAGTCCTGTACTACAAATAGAATGAAGCAGACTTTATGATGAGTAATTAGATAATTATAGATAGCATTCAGGCCAACATCAAACCTATGTTTTGTTCTAATAGTCCTATACTAGAAAAGCCTTCACTGCTACATCACAACCTTTTCTAGCTGACTTGTACTTGCTATTGGCAATTTTTTTCCTTCTTTTTCTGCTTTTTTTTAAAAATAAAAAAACATACTGAAAAACTACTGCCGTTTTCTAAAAACAAGTTTTTGCATCACTTTCATAACATAATTTTCATTAAAAACAATTTTTGCATTGACGTTTAGCATAAAGAGGCTTTGTAATAATCTTCTGAAAGATACAAAGCTTTAAAAAAAATCCTTAAATTCAACTGAAAAAAAATGTGTTCAAAGTAAAATCAAAGTCAACATTTTGTGAAAGTCTCACTGGCAGGCTGAAAAAAAAGTTCTCGTGCAGAAACTTCTCCAGCAACCTCATATATATATAATTACAAACTCTCCATACTTTTCCACATTACTTTCCAAGCTTTACGACCAAAAGACAGATTCTACTCACTTCCCATCATCAGTAAGCGCCAGGTTCTCATCATCGTCTGTCCTGCTGCTAAACTGCAGCCTCAAAGACAACGGCCTGTCTTTCCTGACGCAATCTTCATTTTGCATGTCATTGTCCTCAGTGCACTCATTATTTCCGCCAAGCGCAGAATGTGAAGCACGTGCCATCCCCAATTGAGCAACTTGTGAAATCTCTTCAGATCTCAGTTCAGGTATGTTTTCCGATATGGAATCCTCAGGAGTTGTGACATTCATAACATGGCTTAATTCTTCATCGTCGTTGTCATCCATTTCCTCACAAAGTGCATTTGAAGCAGTAGCAGCAGCAGCAGCATTAGACCGGCTCGGAGCAATGGCTGCCTGAGAGTGGTCTCTGTTACCACCACCATTCACCGTTCTTTGTTGACTCTGAGTGTTTGACTCCGGTCTTCTAAATGTGTTCCTGAAAATAAAGGGGAAAAAAACCCCCATACAGTTTGTAAAGGGGATTATCAATTGCAGTATTTTCATACACACACTTTACGATGAAATTAAGAATTTGAAGGTGGTTTTTTTTTGTTATGTAAGATTAGCAATCAGTAAGAAGTGCATTCCACCAAAACCTACCAATGACATCAATTTCATCAAAACATATTATTTATGAATGAAACCACAAACGAAAGGCTTTCATATCTTCAAAAGGCTAGATATGTGAGACAGCATGGTGAAATCATGTGCTCGTCAAAATAATGAAATCAAAGAAACCAGCATTTCCCTGGCTGATTTCCAAATTTTGTCAAAATTTCTTTTTTTGGCTCAATTTTATTCCCATTTTAAAATATATTTCTGTGTGGATTTTACATAAAAACGTTGATCATGTATGTTTTTAAAAAACAAAACGATCAATTGTTAACAACTGATATAACAGGCGGAAATAATGCTTAGTGACCATAGCCACCCACTGACATCGGAATTTCAACTATCGACCCGCAGTAAACGATACATTTCCAAAAAAGGAAGAACAGACAGATATAGAAATTCATTCGTACCAACTGCAGTGAGGTTCCTAAACACACAGTGCTAAAAATGAAACAGAGAGAGAGAGAGAGAGAGAGAGAGAGAGAGAGAGAGAGAGAAAGTTTACGGAGCGGGTTGTCCCAGCACGTGAGACATATTGTATTTACTTGGCCTAATGTCCTGTCTTGTGCGTTTGCGTGAGTGCACCTTTACGTCTAACTTTTGTAACGTCTACTGCCATTGTTAACGACCAAGACAAATTTCTCCATGCGAGATGAATAAAGATTGTCATTGTCATATAATATTAGAAAAGTTATTGTTTTGGTTCACACCAAGATTCTTGTGCCCCACTTCTTCTTCTTCTTCCTCGTTCAATTTCCTAAGAGATGAATGATTTGGAGAGGCCAGCATCTGTAACTTAGCTTGGGTTCTTTGCCATTGCATGCAGAAGACTTGAGTTCAATTTCCAAGAGTGGAGGCTTTTTTTTTCTCCACGTATTTTCTTCTGTACGCTAGCATGCTGTATCCCATTTTGCTCCAGTTAGCTCTGATAGGCAGAATCAAAACAGCCTGCTTCCTGATGTTCTTAATTGTGTTCAGAGATATGAAAAAAAAGCAGACTCATTTTTCCTTACTTTCAGTTATACTCCATAGGAGGGCTTCGTGATGATGTTTAAAGTTAAAAAGGGATAAAAACTGTATGCTCCATTTAAAAATGAACAAATGAACGCACATATCACTCTCTAAGATACGAGATGTGTGATATTTCTCAAAACCACCAAAATGTGACTCTACCCCCCCCTGCAATCTTTATTAATTGATAACAGATGTGTCTTTGTGACTTACCTCGGCCGTTTGGTTGTGTGTCCCTGAGGTTGTCTCTGTGTTGTCTGTGACGGAAGACGCTGCTGCGATGAGTTGCCAACATCAGCTAAAGTTGCAAGGACAAAATTACCTTCAAACGACAAGTCACTGCTGATAGAAATGGTCACCGGTCTGAAATAGGACACAAAAAATCCGATCAAGGCACTGTGTGTCAAAATGCAAAGCTTTCTAAAACATAAACAAGGAAAAGGCTCAACAAGTAAAATAAGTTCTCTTGATGGGAACAAGTTACGAGCTCGAGGAAGTACAAAACTAAACCATAACCTACTCAATTCCCTAAAAAGTTTTTCTTTCCTTCATTTATAAAAAGAGTAGCTATTCTAATGGATTATTAGAATTATTTATACGCTTTTGATTATCCTGCTGTAAACATTTTTAACTGCCTATATTCTGTATCACTAGAACTAGTATTACAAAACTTCTGGCATAGAACAAGACAAGACACTGAAAATTATTATACGCTATATATAATGTACCCCCTGGCTACCCAGTCACAGGGAACATAAAAGGTTCAGCTTTTTTATATTTCTACTAAACTTTTAGTATTTGTAAAAGTTGCATCATCTCACTTACCTTCCTGCACATTCAAAATGCAAGCACAGAGGCAAATCTGTGATGTCAACAAAGGAAAGGATAGCCTGAAAAAACCCCCAAAAAAACACAATTGTAATGAAATCATGAAACAAATTTGTAGCCATAAATTACATAAATTAAAACCAGCAATAGGCAGTTCAAAATGATACTGGGACTATTGTACTCTCGAGGTACGATATTTGCTCCTCATTTAAAAAGACCTGGGATCGAAACTTGACAGCGATAAAAACAATTTTTTCTCTAAAATTTCCTCCTTTCACCTCCTCTCCTCATTTCCTGCTCTCTAGTCCTGTTCTTTCATCTGTTTTATCCCCCACCCCCCAAAACCACCAGTCTTTTCTGGACTCCTTTCTCATATCCCCTTTAATCCTCTTTCTACACTTCTACAGCTACTCCTGGCTCCTTTTTAAGAGCCAAAGTTCCAATTTGAGCCTTAGGTCAAAGGAAAGATTTGTCATCACTGCAAGCTGACTTACCCGTAGTTCCTTCAGGCAAAATGTAACTTCGGTGTCCACTCCAACTTGATAGTGGTCAAACTCATCGGGTGACAAAGTCATTTCGGTGTGAATGACTTTGGTGATATCTGACAACAAAAAATCAGAACATAATATAATTACATTTACTGCACTGTGGTAAAAACTTTGTTGGCAAAATCAAAAAGAACAAACATCACTGTTCCGTGACACCATGGGATTTTTTCCCCATATTCTTTTTAACCTGTACATGGCAGTCCCTGTCCAATGCAGTCACAATCAGTCATTTCCTTGATAAGTTAGCCTTAAAATCTGCTTATAGCAGTCACTTGCAAAAAAAGTTTTCTGGTAACCCGTCCTCAGACAATGTGTGTACGTTCAATCAATGCACAGAAGCTCTTATGATAGATTACAATTTTGATGGAAATGAAAAGGAAAGATAAAATCAAGATTTCAGATTGTCAAGTCAACCAAATGACAATAATAATTCAGACTCTGTCCTTAGTGGCCATCTGTCTTTAACGGTCATTTTTACGTGTGATCTTGAGTGACCGTTATGAACAACATAGCTTTTCAAACAAAATCACTTACACGTAAAACGACTTTAGTTACTTCTTACAACAACAGATCGAAGCAACTAATTACATTTACTGTACTATAGAGTAAAATGCATAAAAGTTTTGCTGGCAACATTTTTCCACCTCTTTTGAATGCAGGCTTTTCATACATAGACAAATCAGTAAAACCTGCACAGAACATTGTCTTCAAAAGGATCACCGCCATTGATTTTTTGCATGGCTCAACTTTATCTTTACAGTTTTATAGACACACATAAACAAAGAGATTACAGTAAATAACAATTACGGTCACATAACTTAATTTTTTTTCCTTTTGGAAGATCATTGAATACCACTTAAGTCTTATAGTATTCGCATTGTTTTTACTTTGAAATGAACAAAGAAATCGTTTTTCAAGTTTGATTCTCTGTCAAAAGTACTTTGAAGCAATCAACATACATACAGACCAATTTCTTTCTTTTAACATTAAATTATGCATTCTCTTTAAAGGTCTTCGTAACTCTTAACCTCAACATCAAAACATATGACAACTCACTGTAAAAGGAGAGTAGGATACCTTAGCATCAATATAAAAATTATTCTTGCAAGTTACACTCTCTATTTAAAAAAGTACTTTGAAGTAAACAGCATAAAAGTAGATCAACTTTTTAAAAGATTTACAACTATTTAACCTCTTTAAATGTGAAAAATATTAAGGACCTAGTATTTTTCACATTTCAAGTCCATTGAGAGTAGGATACCTTAGCATCAATATAAAAATTATTCTTGCAAGTTACACTCTCTATTTAAAAAAGTACTTTGAAGTAAACAGCATAAAAGTAGATCAACTTTTTAAAAGATTTACAACTATTTAACCTCTTTAAATGTGAAAAATATTAAGGACCTAGTATTTTTCACATTTCAAGTCCATTGATAGCACTTTATACACCGGTTTCTTCCTTCAACTTAGAGCTGGAACGTTTGTTTACACTCGTATCACAGGCTGTCATGCGCTAAGACAAGGTTGCGCCCAAGTCTCGCTCAGACGTGAGATATGGCAATTAAAACATCTTGGCAGTACAGAATCTTTGATAACATCACAATGCTGCATTTCTATTTTTAGTAACTTTGTCACCGGCATTCCGATGTATAATAATAAAGGGTGATAGATCTAGTCAACTCGGGAGGGAAGCCCTGGAGCAAGTTGCATTTGAAAATAGCAATAGTTGCAAGAAAAATTAGGAAAAGTTGCGCTGACGGCAAAAATTGAGGACAGAAAAATAAATGGCGGAAATATGTCATCGATATTTGGGCCAATCACAGAGGTATGCTAGGTGCTCTCTGCAGCGTCATGTCGCTTGGAAGGCTGCGAAGCTGTGTTTACGATACCTAGTACTAGATCTAGATGACTGGTTTTGGGTGGGCACAAAAATGCTAGCCATCCGAGGTCGCATAAATCCCCACAGGGCAGTAGCATCAGGCTAATCGACCGAATTTGTTCAAGTAACAAAAGGCTAGCCACCCCAGATCGGGTGGCTAGCACCGGCCTTTTAAAAAATTGAGTATCTCCATCTGTCTGCTGGGATGTTGTATAGACAGGGTCAGAGCAGCCCGTCCACTAAAAGATATAAACTGTTTCGATAGGGGTGTAAAAACAAAATTACAATTACACATAGAAATAGTTGTCAAGGAATGTCACAGCAACATACCAGGCTCATCCTCTACGTAGTTTTTAAGTGCTAAGAAATCCGGTCTCACTATGAGGGTGATTTCTTCTTGAGTACTTTGAAAGTTTAGAACTGCATCACACAGAAGCCTAAATGAAAAAGAAACATTGACAAAAATTATTCAAGGTTCAATTTACAAATCTTTGTTAAATCTCTAATAAACCAGAGGTAATGAACTTCTTTTAGGCATTTCACAGTGCACATATCTAACGCTTCCATTTCCAGTCGTAGTATTATATTATTCAAAAAGAAAAAAATATATTTTCAATGAAAAAATACATATTGAAGATGTATAAACTCCAATATAAAAATAACATTAAGCATAGCTGCTCATTTATGGATTTTAAAAATGTTAGCTGCATTTAATGACAATGACAATGACAATCTTTATTCATCTCGCATGGAGAAATTTGTCTTGGTCGTTAACAATGGCAATAGACGTTAGAAAAGTTAGACCTAAAGGTGCACTCATGCAAACACACAACAAGACAGGACATTAGGCCAAGTAAATACATGTCTCACGTGCTAGGACAACCCGCTCCGTAAAACATTCTCTCTTTCTTTCTCTCTTTCATTTGTTGCACTATGTGTTCAGTAACCTCACTGCAGTTGGTACGAATGAATTTTTATATCCGTCTGTTCTTGCTTTACTGGAAATGTATCGTTTACTGCGGGTCGAAAGTTGAAATTCCGATGTCACTAAGCATTATTTCCGTCTTTTTAAAAATTTTGTCTAGTGCAGATATTCAAAGTTGCTTAGTTCTCTACCAGTTGTTCTTGATACCTTTCTTATCAACTTGTTTATTTTTATAATGTGTTGCCTTCGCAAATTGCTACCATAGCAAGCGATACCAAAATTTATCAAAATTTCTATGGTGGTGGTGTAGAATATCTGAAGGATGGACGGATTCAGACCGAAAGACTTAAGTTTCCTCATAGATACATTTACCCCAAATAAACCATTGGTAATGGACTACAGAAGTTATTTGAGAATACAAAATTTTAAATGGCTTGATTATACCATTAAATTATTTTAAACCAATAATTATTAATGTAAAATCTACATTTTTGAGACAGTTACTGTATGAGAAACAAGTAAAAATTTCATTCATTTAAAAAAATGAGCAATAGTTTATATTTAATCAATTCCCCAAACAAACTTAATAGCCTAAATGGAATTATTTCTAAGAACCCAATGCTTTCACTTTCAGTAAGACATGCCAAGTCAAGTTTAGCAACATCAAGGGAAACTTGAAACTTACTTTGGAGGGGCTGTTATTTTGTTTGGGCATAAATCTTTAGAGAAAACTGCCTGAAGTGTGTCACATTCTATAAAAGCCAAGTTATGAGTCTTTATAATACCTGGAAAACAAAATATAGAGACAAATACAGGATTTAAAAAAAAGACTTTTAACACTCAACATGACAACTATGATGTAAGAGAAAAATACTTTTGTTCAACATCAGTACTTGAAAAGTGCATAGAACCTGCTGTGAAGCATGGACATGTGTCACTTAAATCAAATGATTATAATAATTATTAATTTTAATTATTATCAGTAAACCAAATCTCTTAAAGTAAAATAATTTAAAAATAGAAATTACACTATTGGTGCATATTGTAAAGAATGCTTCAAAAGTAAACTACAGCTCAAAACCATACAGAATAATACTCCTCACATTGACATGTCATGGTCACATAAGCTTACTGAGTTCACAGAAAAGCAGGTTGAAGCACTTTGTTTCAGTATAAAGGGTTGTGAAGCAAAATCCTTTTCAGTTAAAGTATTTTCTACTCTTTCTTAGTGCATGTATGCAGAGTGACCTACCATCCAAAAGTCAAGGGTTCCATTCCCACCATTTCTGGGTCTGAACTGGTGACCATTGGAAAGAAATGTTGCAAGTGGGACCCAGTATCTTTAAGTCATAGGTTCCAACCCAAATAATTCTGGGTTGTAATATGCATCTCTTGGAAAGTAACTTTGTAAGAACCCCCCTGCAAGTATGAATAAAATAGCAGCATAATTACGGGTCAGCTGGGTCAGAATTTGTGTCATTAAAATTTGGAGAGAAACTGCAAGACCACTTTTTGGTCAAATTTCTTAGTCAAATTTGTACTCTTCAAAAGTTTACTGTAAGTGATTTAGGCCCCCATCAACACAATTCAGATCATCTGTGAGGTGGGTTACTTCAACCCTGCCTGAGTGGAATACAACATTCTAGAAGACAAATAGTGACACCTCATTATGACCTCCTCAACTCTGAAATCAAACTCACAACCTCTGCTAGCAGTACTAAAGAGCCTAATTGCGAAACCAGAGAAGCTCGTGAACTTTCTAGGCATCAGAGCCATTTCTCTTTTTTTTAAATTGAACAACTCATATTCAGACCTTGTTGCAAGAATAATTACCATGTCTGCAGTACATTTGGAAAATGAGCCTTGCTTCAGACATGTTCAGTGAGATTCTGCATTTCTCCACTGTTTTATCAATTGTTGGCAGTGACTTGAATACTGCCATCACAGACTGTAGAAAAGACGACATAGCAAAGGTCAATATTTCAGTGATATCTCAAAACACTTTTACATTATAATCAATCACAACTGAGAGACCACATAAAATAAAAGACACCGTTTATTAACCCACCAATTTGTTCGAGTAAAAAGAAGTACATTGATCCAATGATCACATTTCATTCTAGGACTGTGTGGACAAAGCAAGAGCGACGAACAAAATTGAGGGACAGAAAAGAACTAGGACATATTACTGGTACCTTCCAACTATCTGTACAAACAAAGTTATATATATATCCCACGAGAAACAAAAATCAACTTTGATTAAGTTGCCTGTTCATTAAAAAGCATGTGAAAAAGTGAAAACTCATAGAAACGACAGAATTGTTGGAAAAAAATGTATCAAATCACAGAGGAGCTGTTTTAAGAGTGAAAGCATATATATCAGTCAAACCTTATTGTATCACCAGCCTCGCTTACTTCCAGGTTTTGCAAATATACGAAAAAGAACGCTTATATAAACGTAGCATTTTTGCCTTCACACCGCCATCTGCTAATTGTCTGGGTTGTACAGTCCTTATTTAACTAATGCAAATTTACCCCGCCATGCCGCCAGCGAACCTGATCGCCAGAAGTACACACTGCACATGGTGCACAACACCCACTTGCTGGCTACTTCATAATCCTTCTCCCACAAGAAAGACATAAAGATAGAAAGAGAGAAGACTCTCAGCTCTGAATACATGTACATGTACATCACTAAGAAAAAGACCCTTTTCACAAACTCAGATCGCATAACAGAATCATGTTCCTTGACGCTGGACAGTCGCGGCTCTACAACAGAGGAACCCCATTTCAACCACTAGCCCCACAACTCCGCCAAATTTATGCTCGTCCCAAGGGTGGTGATGTAATGTGGTTTGACTGTAGTTTTAAGTTCAAATTTTAAAGTATTTCAAAAGCATAAATAATTTTTTACAATGCCATTGAAGCTTCGCTAGCAGGTCAGGTTGGTACAAATTTGCCTTTACCTTCATGCCTATTTTGCATCTCAGACCTTCTTCATCTGAGCTCCTTCCATCTTGACCCGAAGACCCATCGATGTAATGTAAGAAAAACGATGGGGAAAACTGGAAGTATCCATAGGCAGAACGGCAGGAGTTCACTGTCCTGAGGTACAACTGTAAATGTAGACAGATCTATTCATGTAAATCCTAAACCAATTGTTCAAGAGTATCTCAAACCCTTCTGTAGTCTGATTGGCCCTGCAGTTTAGGCTAACATTATCCAGCATCACCATATCTTAAATAGCGCCCACCTTGTTAAAATATTCAGGAGAGATAAAAGGATTGCTTTGGATGACACTTTCAAAGTATGTTTTTACTCAATCCCAATGCAGAGTAAACTAATTAACGATGCAAAGTGATTCAAATAGTACAAATTAATACACGGGTACAACATTGAAATACAACACTGAAATATATTCAAAGCTAGAACTTAATTCTCCTCCCAGGGTACGATAAGATATAACAATTGAAAATGCATGTTTACTTACTCCATCTTCCAAAGGTTCAAAATACAGTTCATCCCCTATTTTAGATAAAGACTGGATTGCTCGCCCAAAAACTGAAAAAAAAAGAAATATCAATGATTACATGAGTATCTGATCAATGAAACTTCTCTCATTTACAACAGTTTTATTTGTTGAGCTTATTGATCATATCCATGCCCACTTACACAGTACAGGAAAGCAACATTTTCTTAGACCACTGTTACATGATGTTTTCAGAAACCTTTTTCAAATCAACATTCACAACCATAAGTAGTCTTCTCCCCTATAAATATAAACTCCGCCCTAATCTGAGGCCAGGTTTGCTGATCTTTCTATATATTCAAATTGGCATCCAAAGGACCTATCTCCACTTTTATTATGGTCCACTGTCCACTTGATTACTAACTAGTCCAAATTTTAAAAAAGGTATATCTCCTGGCCTGCAGTCCACTAGCAGACTCTGCTAGTATTGACTCTAGATAAACATTTTTTAAAAGGCATGCTATGAATACAGTTGAACCTACCAAGGCGGACACCTCTACAAATGGTCCCTTTGCATTTTTTTCAATATAATGGCACTGCGTACAGCGACAAACCTGTACAATGCGGTTGTAGACCTTATAGTTTATCAACCAACAGCCAAAAAAACTGTAAAAAATGGCCCCATAAATCCATCATTGTCCGAAGTGTTGCCACAAATTATATATCAGCCCCTGACCTTGTTGACAAGCCGTCATAATCCATTCACCTGTTGTTATTGCTAGTCCTTCCAATGAAAAAACCCATCATGTTGCATGCATAAATATGTCCCTTCCACTGTTTACCAAAGTTGGCTTGTCGGTAACAAATTTTCGGTCGCTGGTTAGGAAGGTGCGCGAACCATCATAATCCAGTAGTCGCGCACCACAACTCTGACCACACACGAATCATACTATCTATGAGCAATCGCTCTGTTTACCCAGTTGGTAACTATGAATGTCATCATTAACTCTTTCATTTTATCCTTGCACTGCATACTGTCTTTCTAGTATATAATAATAATACACTTCACAGAAGGAAAGGAAACAAAAAGACATTTTAATGGGCCTTACGGCAGTCCTAAGCCTGCAATTGTTTCCAGTTGGGAGCTCAGAAGAAAATTATGGTTTGTTTTCTTCATTTTGATCAGTCCTGCCTAAAGATGGCCACCTGTGTAAAAGACAGCCACTTTTCTCCTTGACAATGGGTGGCCATCTTAGACAGTTTCAGCCGTATCTATCTCTAACCTAGAACGTGAATATCTAGATTCTGGTTCCAGATCATGTTTCAAATAAAGATAAATTCTTCCTTTCAGTCCTGCACAAAGCTGGACAACTACTTTTGGGGGTCAAACAAACATATTTTTTGTTGCATCACACAATTGGTCACTAAAACTGCTGAAAATAAATAATTATTATTATATATATGTTTTCAATAAAATTTCAAACCAGATTGCAAAACATCAATTATGGGAAAAAACAAGAGCGCACACCCCCTGAACCGGCCCAGAGTAAAAAAAATTAGGCCTAAGTAAATACTACAAATATTAAGTTTAGCTTACTCTATTTCGAATAAAGAGCCATCAAATAATTCAAAAACTAAATGTATCAAAACTCAGTATTATCAGCGTAAAGGCATTCTCCGGTTTTAGCCCCAAGAATAGTGGAATAATGTACCTTACATAGCACTTTTGTTATAACTGTTAGGTAACGTATTGGGATTTAGACAGTACCTTTCTTTTACTCAGTAGTCACTTTTCGGTTACAGTGTACTAAAAGACAAAAATAAAACAAAGAGCCCTTTCCGGTAGGGCTGGGTCACGAGCGGGAGAACGGAACTGAATCGCCACTCTTTCCTGCGGAACGCGATTCACGATTCATTTCAGCGGAACGCAGAACAGTATCGCCAAACGATTCCCGATTCACTCCCCTGTCGCTGTCATCACCTTGTGGCTTGTTTAACCTACTGCTGAGTCGAGTCACGAGCGCAAGAACGGAATGGAACACTTAGTATGGCTCCCCTTATTTTACAGAAGATGGTATACTTCAACCCCCCTATTAAAACAAAATGAACGGGGTCCAACCAATAGACAGAAGGAATTTTATGGAGCCATTGTTTTAGTGAATGGTGGGGTTGGGGGCGGGGAATTTATGGGGGTCACTAATTGAGGTCAGTTGATAGAGCAGCGCAACAAAGGGTGTGGGGCGGAGAGGATGGCGGAACAACAAGAGTGGGACTCGCGCTCGCCGAGAGGCGTTGATATGACACTGTTCCGTTTCAGTCAGTGTTCCGCCACAGTTCCACGAGCGCTCGCGTACTCGCGATTCATTGAAGCCGACTTATCGCCACTCTCAAATTTGACGAGCAGGATCCAGCCCTACTTTCTAGCGAGCATTTCTTCACTCTCTCTAAATCTGTTTGTACCCACAAACCGAACAATATTACAAGAATACTGGATATCAATACTGACTTGTGCTTGGCCCCATGACCTATTAAAATATGGGGGTTAACCATCATTTGATGCTTTACAGTTAGATTTGATATTTCTAACTCCCCATGCATCAAACATTATATATCGGCACACGCGCCAAAAAGTAATCGTTAAGAACAGACAGAAGTAGGCTTACTAATAGTCAATAGATCTAAGAGCCAAAACCCACACTCCGTAGTTATCACCCAAACCAGATTATCTTAGTGAAAAGAGGACAAAAAGAACATGATAAAAATTATACTATAACTATAGGCTACATTATGTAGACTATAAATTATAGAGGCTAAAGGTCTAATTATTAGACTAATGTAGATAGTAATACCCGAGCATGAGATGGGAGAGAATGTAAAATATATTATTATTATTGGCAGGCGCTATTTGCAACGCCCCGTTCTGAATAGCTCCCATGCTATTTGAAAGGCCGCATTCTGATTAGCTCCCATGCTATTTAAAATGCTGCATTCTGAATAGCTCCCATGCTATTTGAAACGCAGTACTAGCAGCCTTCGTTTCTACACAATAATATTGTAGCTCTGCTTGAATTGTGGAAGCTTTCTCAGATTCTTGATTATAAACCTCCTAGGATTAGACTCCATTTTTATGACGTTGTCTTATTCCGATCAATATTGGGTAGATCTAGATCTAGATCTAACAATTGTTTCTGACATTGTTAGGCCTAAAAGTTGTCTTGTTCATCTCTCATAATCATAAATCATTTGAGTTTGAGCAAGTAAGTCAAAAGACGCTTGGATAATAATAACAAGAGGGTGCAACTCTGTAAGCATTATTTCCTGTCCGCAGTGTCGTCATGCAATACCTAAAAATATTATCTCTGCGTACACTTTATATTTTGCCATCACAAATGACATCGTCTGATCTAGGCTTCGGCGTTTTAATTAGTCTACGTTCTCTAACATTAGGTCTAGAGAACGTACAAGCTGTCTACATGATGATTCTCTAATGTTCGGTGCTTCCAAGCGTGGCATCGAATCCCGGTCCCCGAAGGTTTTTTTTTCTTCTCCTGAGCCTAAAATAGGCACTTCCATTATTATTAGGCCGGCTCTATTTCTATGAACGTTCAGGAAAATAAACTTGAACTCTGTTTCTCCGAACGGTTTACATTCTCGAAATTTTTTAGTTATCTGCGAATGGAGTGGCCGCACGCGCATGTGTGGGCGTGTGTGTGTGTGTGTGCGTGTGTATGTGTGTGTGAGAGAGTGATCGAGCGTGCGTGTGTATGTGTGTGAGTCTGTGTGTGTGTGTGTGTGTGATGTGTGTGTGTGCAAGGTGTGACGGGTGGGGAGTGAAGGGATTTTTTTTTGTTACATCATGAAGGATTTTAGTTTTGCTTTAGGGGTGACTTAATGCAAAATAGGTTTACTGCGAAAGTTGCTTTGTTTTCTCGCAGCTCCTTTTGAAGGCATTTTCAAATGAAGTATAGTCCGGGAAAATTGCCCCAACCACAATTGAAGTATCTGAATATTCAGACATCTAAAAATCTTTAGCTCCTAGAAATTGAATTCGATGCAAAAAATGCTTCCTCCCAGCCCTCGCAGAACGGCAGAATGAAAGATGACGCCGAAATAGTCTCACATCCAAAAAATCTCAAGAACGGAAACCGTTCTGAGAAATAGATCTAGAATCTAGATCTATATTCTAGATCTAGATCTAGATCTAGATTTAGAGGTCAAGTTTATTTTTTCCCCAGCGTTCGGAGAAATAGTCACTTCGTTGTTATTATATCGATCTAATATAATCCAAATCTAGACTAGATCTCTAGATCTAGAATCTAGGCCTAGGCTAGGCCAAGGACTAGGAGGGGCAGGCAAGGTGTACGCAGGAGTGAGGCCTCGAGTCTGAGGGTCCTGAGGGGGCAGGACTTTTGGTAACAGACGAAAAAGTGCCGGACTTTTGACACCTTTTCGCACATTTACTGTTACCAGCCAATTACACCCACTTTCTCTTCCGTCGACAGTTGCAGTTCAAACAACACTATTATTCACAGACTTAAATACCCTGACTCTGGCATCCTGCCTAGCCGCGCCTGCCTAGGGCCTAGTACTAGATCTAGTAGTACTAGATCTAGATATACTATAGTACTAGATCTAGTACTAGTGGCAGTGGTCCTACCTTTCAGATTCACTCCGGGTATAGTGCACTTCATGGAACTCATGATTGAGATTCAGGGTTTCCAAAACACAGGAATGAATATAATAAATGTCTAGGTATGTCTGCTTAACAAAGTTTTTCCCAGGCATGGGCTAGTATAATTACACAATAAATCTGATAAAAATTTGCTATATTTTCCATTGACATTTCATGAGGGGCGCCATTTTGTGCATTATTGTCCAGCAGACAGCAGTCAGTAGTCACCAGAAAGAACACTTTCCGTTCCTGAATTAATCAATTCGGTGTTCATGTTCTCAATACTTTTTTGTGACTTTCTATGGACAAAGAAATCTACGAATAACAGAATTTTTAATTTTTTTTTACAGGCTTTGAGCTGTTCATTAAAAAAGACACCCTACATGTACAGTAGTTGAAAGTGATATAAAATGCCATAATTATTATATCATCATCATCATTGCCTTTCTCACCCTGCACCAGGGTATAGGCCACGGACAAACACCGTCCACCTTTCTCTATCCTCCTGGGCTAGCCTCTTTGTGTTATTTCATGTCTTCCCACTTTTCTGTACCTCGATTTCTGCGATTCTTCTCCAGGTTCCTTGCGGTTTTCCTCTTGATCTCTTACACTGTGGATTTAAATCCAAAACTTTCTTTGTTGTGCAGATGCCTGACTTCCTGAAAGTACGTCCAATCAATCGCCACCACCTCATCTCTGACTGGGATCTGGCTTGTTTTCATTAACACTTCCTCATTGGTGACCTGTCTGTCTTTGTGATGATCCTCAGTAACTTTCAAGAAAACCTGGATCCTCTTTATGCAAGTCTGTGATGCGTTCCACGTCTCACATCCATACAACAGGACCGACTTCACATTTGAATCGAAAATCTTCAGCTTTGTCCGAAGAAAGATATCTCTGGTCTTCCAAATCCTATCCAAAGATATGAAAGCAGTATGGGCCTTTCTAATGCGGTACTTTATTTAAGCACCTGTTCCTCACTCTCTGTCAATTATACTCCCAAGATAGCAGAAGGATTCAACGTCTTCTAGTGCATTTGAAATGAGGACCCACCCCGGAGAGTCAAATTTAAGGTTCTAAGGACAGGTGCACAACGAAAGGAGCAGGTCACTATAGAACAACAGACTCCGATAGGCTGCATAAAACTGAAGTCTTTGCTTGCGTCTGTTCCTGTGTGTGCGACAGAAACGCCAAGTCCTCTGCAAAATCCAGATCGTCCAACTGTGTCCATGGTGTCCACTGTATACAATTTCTGTGTCTTCTGGTGGTTTTCTTCATCAACCAGTCGACTGCCAATATGAAGAGGAAAGGTGAGAGTAAACATCCCTGTCTCACACCAGTCTTGATGTCAAAGTTGTCAGTGAGCTGGCCATCATGTACAACCCTGCAACTTGTCCCTTCGCACATGCTCTTGATGGGGTTCACCAACTTCTGTGGGATTCCGTGGTGTCTCATTATCTTCCATAATTATATTGTTGCTCGGTCTATACTGTCAAAGGCGTTTTAATAGTCAAGGAAGTTCCACTCCAGGGACTGTTCTACAATAATCCTCAGCGTGGCAATCTGGTCAGTGGTTGAGCGATTTTTCCCGAAACCAGCCTGTTCATCCTGTAGTCTTGAATCCGTTGCTGTCTTGATTCTCTCCAGAATGATTCTGTTGAAGACCTTACCTGGTATTGAGAGAAGAGTGATCTCTCAGTAATTGGTGCAGTTGCTGAGATCCCCCCCCCCTTTTTTTGGGAAGCTTCATGAGGTGTCCTTCTTTCCAATCCTTTGGGAACTTGCTCTCATTCCAGATCCTGGCAAACAAAGGGAGGAAGAGGTCTGTCGTCACATTGGCATCTGCTTTTAGGGCTTCATGTGGAATCTGATCAGGACCGGCCGCTTTACCTTTGTTCAGCCTCTTAGTGGGATCCAGAAGGAGCATCACAGCAGATTGGTAACTCATTTCTTGCTGGCAGGACGTTTGGCGGGTTACTCGGTGGTGGTCTGTTCAGGAGACTCTTGAAATGCTCTACCTATCGTTTAGACTGACCTTCCTTTCCAAAAATGGTTTTCCCCTCTTTGTTCTTTACTGGTACTTCAGGTTTCCTGTATTTTCCAGCAAGTGTCCATGTGGTCTGATAAAGGATTCGCATGTGCCCTCCTACCACTGCTTCCTCTGCCTTCTCTGCAAGTCTGTTCATGAATTCCTCCTTGTCTTTTCTTTGTGATTTCTTGACACCTTTAGCTGTTGTCCTGTACTGTTCCAACGCATCCGCTCTTGATCTTCTTGTTCTACTTGCATTCGCTTCTGCCTTCAGTTGTCTTCCTATCATAATTAAATCCAATGAGTGTTGGCTAATCAATACCTTGTGCTCCCATTTCTTCGCACCAGTACTTTTTGACATGTTGATGTAAAGACTTCTTTGACCTTGGTCCAGTGTGTATCTCTACCTCCGTGTCCTCTCCGCCAAGATCAGCCAGGGGTTGAAATCTGTTCCTCAGCTGCAGCTGAAACTCTTCTTTCTTGTGTCCGTCCAAGAGACCTAGATCTACTTGGAACTTCGTTCTTTTGATTCCCGAGCTGGTTTCGTGCTTTTTGAGTCGAAGCTTGAGTTTTGTCAACAGCAGATGATGATCCGATCCAATATCTGCCCCTCTCTGTACTTTGACACCTTCCAGTGAACGCCTGAACCTACGAAAGATAAAAAAAAAATGATCTGTCTGGTTCTCTGTCACTCCATATGGCGAAACCCATGTAGCCTTGTGAATCCTCTTGTGGGGGGAAAACAGAGCCTCCGGTGACAAAACTGTTGAAAGCACTTATATTTGCAAATCGCCCACCTTCTCGTTTATTTGTCCCAAGCCATGTTGTCCCATAATTCCTTCATACTCCACGTTTTTCTGACCAATTTTGGCATTGGCATCTCCCATTATGATTTTGTTGGCATTGGCATCCTTCCTTGGTAGTTTGTCAATGACCCCCTGGAGCTGACTGTAAAAGGCATCCTTGTCTTCATCCAAAGCCTCATTAGTTGGGGCGTAGATTTGGACTATATTCATGTTGCTCCTTGTAATGAACGAAGCCATGATGACCCTCTCCCCGTGTGGTTCCCATCCTCTAAGCTAACATCTGCGTTTGTAGCAATTTTTTGGTCCAAAAGTTGCCAAAAGCTGCCACAAAAATGGCAAAAGTTGCCATTAATTTTCTAGATTTCAACTCTCTGTGACGACGTGTATAGCAATATGTTGATAGAGGTAATTTAATCTGAAGCACCACAATTTCTTGTTCAGAATCCAGAAGATCATTTGTAGCCAAAAAGAGTGTAAAAACATGAAAAATAAAGGTTTCGCAACAGAATAAAATCAAAATTAGAACATCACATAAACAACCACAAAATTTAACAAATAAGTGCGAGTGTCCACCTTTCCGAAAATTGGCCGTTTTAACCCTAAACGTGTGTAATTCAAGAAAAGGTAGGCCTAAACCTACAGGATATAACATGTACATTATGAAATCACACACAATTAATTAAGGGCCTGCCAGTGTCAGCATTCGGTTTTGGTGGAGACACGCTTTAACATAACACATTTATATATACATGTATATAAAAAAAAGGTAGGAACAACATCAAACTAAATAACATTACGCTATATAAAAAAACAAAAAAAACCTAACCCAACACATCAGAACAATAACAAGAAAAAAAAATCAACACACCAACAAATTAAAACACGACAAAGAATGGAAAAATAAAAGAGAAACAGCAATATAAATAGCATGTAATGTACTTATATTCTTCAAGTAAAAAATAACAAATCAACCTTGGTGTCAACAAAAAGAGAAAGAGACAAAGTGAAGCTGAAAAATAAACTTTAATTGTTTCTAAAAGTAAAGAGGTTCGGTTTCTATTTCTTTTCTTTAAAAAAAAATTTTATTCCCCGACTGCGGTTTTGTTTTTGTTGTTGTTGTTTTTTTTTTTTTTCCAAAAATGCAAAAATCGCGGTCGCGATTCGAGGACCAAAAAATGTCAATAAATCGCGTCGCGGCCGCGACAAACGCAGATGCTAGTCTAAGTGACTTCATTGCATTCTTACTCAAAATGATTCCCACTCCTTCCGCATTGTGCTTGTCTTCCCTCCCTAGAATACAACACTTGTTTCCCCGAGCTGAGGTGCTTCTGTCCAGACTGTAGGCCTATCCAGTTTGTTTCGCTGACTCCTACTCCTAGTACAAAGTATGTGCACACCTGTATCTCTTCATCTCTTTTGTAGGCCTACTCTTTCCTGCTACATACAAGGTGCGAACATTCCACGACGAAATCCGGAGAGACTTGTTCAACAGAGAAGGTTTCGGGTCAGGAGGGTCCATTCGGCTTTGTCCGCTGTCCTTCATTGTTCCTGCGGATGCAGAAGTTCCTCCGTCTCCCAAGTTCGAAAAATAAAAAGCAGTGTTTGTCAGTGTTTCTGTAACTGACTGTTTTTTACTGGGTCGGGTAGTTGGCCCTCCGAAAACTGGCTCTTTTCGGGCGACCAGACCTTTACACCTTTAGCCGCCTCTTACGACACGTAGTATCACATTCACAGGTGTATTATTTGCTCCCCCATCGTAAAACTATGATCACACACCTGCAAGGGCGAATGCCATTATTATAAGTATGTTTATAATATAGATATGTTCCTGTAAAAAAAAAAACAACTTTAAAAAAAATCTTATTTGATAGGTCCTACGCTCTCGCTGTTCAATTTAATTCACCTGACCTGAATGCCATTGATTCGGTAATTCATCGCACACAAACTCTTTGTGTTTGTTTTAATAGTTCTTAGTTCCCAGTCAACATTTTGAAAGACTAATTATTATAAGGCTATGAGTCGAAATTAGCGCGACGGGTTTACTTTTGTACTCGGCCCACATAATAATAATAATAATAATAATAATAATAATAATAATAATAATAATAATAATAATACAGTCGAACCTGTGTAAGACGGAATCGCAAGGGACCAGGAAAAAAATTCCGTCTTAGACATTTTCCGTCTTAGACAGGAGAATTTAGGGGGAGGTTGGGGGGGGGGGGGGTCAAAGGCCTAGCCGGTGGGATCAAGGATCGCTTGTCCGATCGGCAAGCAGTGGTCAAAACTTCGCACCTCTCAGCTACTATCCTGTCTGATAATGACATGCGTCAGTCTTACGTATCCGATTACCACCAGTGCTTGC